TATTTGTTAACATAAACAAGTCGTGACAGATACATCAAAATCACCAAGACTTACAAATAGACAATATTTAATTGCTGTCATTTAACAAAATGGATCAAATTATAGAAATATCACACAGTAAAAACGACAAACACTGTAAACAGTGGTTATAGGAAAGTCTCAGTTACCATGAACTAAACTGAACTGTTAATAAAACATGTTGTCTGGTTTCTAAACGTCGTTTTAATTTAGAAGGTTTCACTAGTTCACCTCACTACATATGACACACTGAGGCTTTTAAAGGGCACCTATGGTGAAAAATCTACTTTTCAAGCTGTTTGGACGGACATATGTGTATATATAGTGTGTAGACCGTCATATTGGGGTGATACAAACACACACAGTCCTTTTTTTTCCATTTAACAACATAAAAAGGGTGAACCAATTGAAGCGGTTATCAGACCGATCGCAACTTTACGTAGGAGTGCGATCCCGCCGCCCACCGAATTGATTGACAGCTTCGCGTATTAACATGTTCCGGTTGTCACGTGTATATGTCAACAAGACCAGACATACTCAAAGCAACCGGGAATAAAAGGTCTGTTCAGTTCGCGAGGATCATCAGTCATCATCAAATGTGATTAAGAGTAAGTTTCACATGTTTAAAGTGTTTTAAAACAGGGCATGCGTGTAATGAATTACAGCGATTTACTTCAGCTTTACTTCATCAGCACAGCCGCGTGTCAGAACAATTATAAAAGAAGATGCTTCGATCCCGGTTTGTGGACGTTAAATCGGGTTTATTTTGTACATTAGCATAACAGACATCCATACAGCAGTGGAGGTTAGCCTGTATCCTGACACATTTGCGTGCAAAAACAGTGCAAAGCTAAGCGCGCTCTGTTTGCCTGCCTGTCTCTGTGTGTGTGTGTGTGTCAGCTGCGGTGTGCGTGCGTGTGTGTGTGCGCGCGTGAACTTTGTAATGATATATCGTGTGACTCATCAACGCGACTGCACATCAAACACTGATTAGTAAAGTTCTTACTGTAGTATCTCTCAAACACTACGTGAGACCTTCTTGCTTTAAGTCTGTCTGTTGTCTGACGCAGCCGAGGGAGGAGATTAAAGCACGCGGGAAGACACGTAGAAACAGTCGGCGGGGAAGACTCGTCTTAAAGGCGCAGTACGACAAAACCACCCCCTGGTGGAAATCAGTATAAAACAGGATCTAGTAAAAGGTATATTGAAAAATCTGATGGGTGTTTTGAGCTGAAACTTTACATACACATTCTAGAGATGCAAAACACTTATATTAAATATGAAAAAAGGCGTAACCTAGGTGCCCTTTAAGTCTTTTTTGTCATAAATATATGTAAATCCATACTTTACATATTCGGGGTTGTACTTGCGCTTCAACATATTTGTTGCTATAATTAAATGAAATTTCACTTGTCAAATGGTACAGTTGTCGCATGTGCATTTCAAAATAAAAGTCAGGTTTAAGAAAAATAAGTAAAAAATTAAACTTTTGTTGTTTTTTTGAACACACACTCCACGACCCCCTGAAAATGTTCCCGCGACCCAAAGTTGAGAAGCACTGGCTTAATACACACAGGAAGTAAAGCAATACGCAGGTATCTTCATCAGATACAAACAATTAAAGGATTCAAAAATATTACAAAAAAATATAATTTTCTACATGAATATAAAGACCACTGCCTCCTATTAATGCCTAACAGCTACTGCCTAGGACTTCTTCACCTCGGGGGGCTTTTTCAGTTTATTCATGACAACTTGCTTTTGTATAATGTTATTATTATCATCAGTTGTGTTTATTGCATGAATATTTATATTAGTTTGAATAAAAACAAGTTTAGATTTGTCCACCTGTGGGGTTTTAGAGACGTCTGCGTCACCATATGGGGCATAAGAATATAACAAATTAGGAAATTAAGTTTTTTAATAAACAAATTAAGTTTTTAGTCCGTGAAAATCAGAGAATTTAACAGTTCTTGCTTGAAGCGTGCGCATCTCTTTCTCCATTCACCATGCTGGAGAGGAACAGTCTGTGCAAATAAAGCGCAGAGTAGTTTTTTATTGAATACAGCTCTCATCTGATTGGCTGAAAGGTACGAGTTGCTCTGACTCTGCCAGAAAAGTCTCAAAAACACACACACACGTAACCAGGGGGGTGGGAGTGGCGGGATTTGCACATTCTCATTCAGGATGAACTTGAAGTTTTAAACATTCAAAGTGTTTTGTACACTCTTATACATTTGCAAATGGTGTTTTGCATTTGTGAAACGTATTTTCTGAAAATGTATTTTTATTTCGTGCACGTGAATTGTTTTTGTGAATATAAATACATTTTTTACGCACTTTTATTTATGCATGTGAATTTGGCTACGCCTGTGTACATTGTGTCTTTCGCGTGAATTTCTTTTGAGTCTTAACTGACTCCATAGACTGACGGAGGACTGAGGCCTTTTACAATCAGCACAACAACATTTCACATCTGACACAATGGAGAGCTGCAGACCAACATTACTGACACATACACACACACACACACACACACACACACACACACACATTTATATCTGATCAGCATCAGGCAAAAACTACACAGACTGATGAAGTGCATGCGCAGACTCACTAAAGCTGTTTACAGCAGAGTTCATGCACACGAGGAACAAATAAAGTGAACTAAAATAATCCTCAGTAAATGCACTACTAGATGTCCAGTTGTTTTGTTTCTAGTGCAATTTAGCAGCTTTATTTGGTCAGATTAATTAATCCATGTTATATTGAAGCATGTTAATTACAGTTCAAGGTTATATTCCCTTTACCAGGACTGACTCTGAAACCCAATCAAAGCATTTCAGGCCTTACAGCGCCATCTAGTGCTGCTGGTGAACTTTACATCTGTTTCCTAAATGCCTTCAGTGAACTAAAGAGATTCATTCAGAAGCATTTTCTCCTCCTCCAATTGTTTAACACATTCATTCATTCATTTCATTTTCTTGTCGGCTTAGTCCCTTTATTAATCCGGGGTCGCCACAGCGGAATGAACCGCCAACTTATCCTGCAAGTTTTTACGCAGCGGATGCCCTTCCAGCCGCAACCCATCTTAATAATCAAATTTGTTTTATTCAACTAGATGTGCGGCCAGGTAACCTACAAGACATTGTGCCCAGGGGCTTCTGAATTCTTAATTCGGGCCTGGTAAATGCATACACATCAGGGCCGGAGTATGACTCATTTTCAGCCCTGGAGTTTCAAGCCAGACCGGCCCACCTCAGTTCACGACTGATTCCAATTCAGTTTCTAATTTCACTATCACGTCTTTTTCAGGAAAACAGCTGCTTTAGAAATTCAAATGCTCAACAACCCTAACAGTATTATATGTCTTTACAATAAAAATGAAAGAAAAAATCAATAATAATTTTACATTTGAGTTTCGAACACGGGTCCGCAGCGTTGCAACGCACTCACCACTGGACCACAATGGCGCTAGTAAAATGGCATTAAAAAGTAAGTAATGACTTGTGACCCGTAAGACACAGCACTACTTTCTTTTGATGGCTCAATCTTTTTCTCTTTTTCCTTTTTAGATTTCTGATCAAGTTATGTCAGATTTATTAATGTAGTGAATCATTTGATTTTCATTGAGCAGGTTTATTATTCATTAATATCAATTATTCGAATTCATATATTCACTAAGGTGCCGCTGTTTGGGGTTGATAGTTACATTACATCATCATCATTAACTTCAGTTAACCTGCAGGCTGCATTGTGCTCACAGGGCTGCGAGAAAATAGATAAAAAGAGCAGCGCTGCGGCAAAACAATGAAAAAAAGAGTGAAGCTATGGTCAAATAAACAAACAGATGAAAAAGTGTGACTGCTGAGAGTGCAAGCAGCTTGGGACACCGGCCCTCACGGCCAAAAAACAGACCGGCCCACCAGGAATTCTCCCGGTCCTCCCGATTAGCCAATCCGGGCCTGATACACATATATAGACAGTTACGGGCAAAATGATTCACCTTCCTGTGCAAAATTGATTGATATTTTCCAAATGATGTTAAACAGATTCAGCAATTTCTCACAGTATTTCCTCTAATATTTGTTCTTCTGGAAAGTCTGATTTGTTTTATTTCGGCTAGAATAAAATCAGTTTTTAATAGTTTTAAAGCCATGTTAAGCTCAATATTATTGGCCCCTTCAGCAATATTAGTGTTGGATTGTCTCCAGAACAAACCACTGTTATACAGTGACTTGCCTAATTACCCTAAGTTTACCCTAATTACCCTAGTGAAGCCTTTACATGTCACTTTAAGCTGAACACTAGTGTCTTGAAGAATATCTAGTCTAATAATATTTACTGGCATCATGACAAAGAGAAATCAGGTATTAGAAATGAGCTATTAAAACGATCATGATTAAAAGTGTATTGAAATCGTATCTCCATTAAACAGAAATTATGGGAAAAATATAAAATATTCCAAATATACAATAATTCTGACTTTAATTCTATATATTATTATTATCAGAAGTTTACATTGGATCATTGGGATTTTGTATTACCACCCAGCCTTAATCGAGTCTTAAAAAATGTTTAAGGCACAAAACAGCTACATGCAGTGACTTAATAGTAATCAAACATGCATTTTAGAGTAAAAGCAGTTCAGTTTGATCAATGTGAGGACACCAGAGTCACGTACAGCTCTAAACTGAGGCCACTGACCCCTGAATCCAATTACACACACTGGAGATTTACCAGCAGCACAACAACACATTTACACAACCACAGCAGATCATTTACTATCTGCTTTTCATACTTCATATCCTAAAACACGTCACATATCATGATTTCAGCTCAGATGAGGGCTTTATTCTTGAGTTTTCATGAGTTTTCCACTATAATCCCCCTCTGCTTGTAGAAGTGGTTTGCTCTGTGGTCTAGGTGACTCATCCGAGCGCTCTGATTGGCTGCTGCTCTGAGCTCATTGTTTTGCTGCTGGTGTCAGTAATCAGACAGATTTTGAGCTGTGATGCGAGCGGGACGCTCCATTATGGAGAGGGAAACACTGATCTGCTAACTCAGGTACACACACACACACACACACACACACACACACTGAAAAATATATTCATTGGATTTACATTTGTTTTTTTAAGGTTGGTGGTTGTAAACAATTGAAATGGGCTGAATTTAAACAAACAGATGAAGTTGAACATCACTACATTTCATTTGTTTGTTCACATTCAGCTCATATAAACTGTTTGCAACCAGCTACCTATACTTTATTACATACAAATGTGGCTTAAAAATGTGTTAAGATGCAAAAACGTACATATTAGGCCTTAAAACCTCTTAAGTTCACTGTAATATCGTGTTGTAGGTATACAAGAAATAGCTAAACTTGATTTTTTTGATGAGGGAAGTCAAACTCTTTTTATATTTTAGTGTTTAGCCGTGTTTATGTTTAAAATTGTATTCATGTTGGTCTTAAAATGTCTTAAATGTGTGTTTTTGGACCTGAAACCTCGTATTTCTGTGCTGATAATCCAGCTGAATTGGTGATGAATGAATGATGTGATTTACAGCAGTGTATTATTTGATATGATGTTTAATGAATAGTAATTGAAAGGCTTGACAATACTTGAGTTAGTATTTTTCTGAGGTACTAATTTCTATTTTTAGTAGTTTTGTTGTTTTATTTATTTATTTTTTTCTCAAAAGTGGCTTAAAATATATTAAATTACATAAACATACATTTTAGGCCTGAAAACCTCTTAAGTTCACTGTAATTTTGTGCTGCAGCTGACTAAGAAATAGTTAAACTAGATTTTTTTGATGGGGAAAGTAAAACGCTTTTTATATTTTAGTGTTTAGTCGTGTTCATGTTTAAGATTGTATTCATATTGGTTTTAAAAGGTCTTAAATGTGTGTTTTTGGACCTGAAACCTCGTATTTCTGTGCTGATAATCCAGCTGATTTGGTGAATGATGTGATTTAAAGCAGTGTATTATTTGATATGATGTTTAATAAACAGTATTTGAAAGGCTTGACAATACTTGAGTTAGTATTTTTCTGAGGTACTATTTTCTATTTTTAGTAGTTTTGTTGTTTTATTTAATTATTTGTTTCTTAAAAGTGGCTTAAAATATAATAAATTACAAAAACGTACAATTTTGGCCTTAAAACCTCTTAAGTTTACTGTAATATTGTGCTGTAGCTGACTAAGAAATAGTTAAACTAGATTTTTTTGATGGGGGAAGTAAAACTCTTTAATTTTAGTGTTTAGCCGTGTTTATGTTTAAAATTGTATTCATATTGGTCTTAAAATGTCTTAAATGGGTATTTTTGGATTTTAAACCTCGTATTTCTGTGCTGATCGTTCCAGCTGATTCGGTGATGAATGAATGATGTGATTTACAGCAGTGTATTATTTGATATGTTGTTTATTGAACAGTAATTGAAAGGCTTGACAATACGTGAGTTAGTATTTTTGAGATCTAATTCATGCAATATATTTGTAGTTTAATTTTTAGGAGTTTTGTTGTTTTAATTTCTTATATTTTTCTTAAAACTGGCTTAAACAATATTAAAATACAGAACGTACATTTTTGGCCTTAAAACCTCTTAAGTTCACTGTAATAGTGTGCTGTAGTTGGCTGAGAAATAGCTAAACTAGATTTTTTTGATAGGGGCAGTATAAATCTCTTTTTTAAATCAGTGTTTAGCTGTGTTTAAGTCTGAAATTTTATTCATAATGGTCTTAAAAAGGTCCTAAATCTGTCTTTTTGGTCCTGAAACCTGTATTTCTGTGATGTGCTGATTCTTCCAGCTGATTTGGTGAGGATTGAATGATGTGATTTAAAGCAGTGTATTATTTGATATGTTTTTTGATGAGTAGTAACTGCAAGGCTTGACAATACTTGACAATAGTGTTTTGAGGTATTAATATATGTAAAATATTTTAATTTTTAATTTTTAGCAATTTAGTTGTTTTATTTTTCTGTATATTTTTAAATGTCTGTTTTAACTTGTATTAATATTTCAGGTTTAGTTATGTTAGTACATTTACTTAAACCAGATGAAAATATCAAATGTTGCATTGAAAACCAGCTTGAGATAAAATAATGTTTTTTTCTTCATTTATTTTTTATTTAATTATATATAATTAATATATATATATATATTTAGTGTAATTGTTTCATTTAATTCAATAAATAGTTTTATTTTTCCAGCAGTTGTTATTTTACTATGATTTAAAGTGAGGTTTTATTAGTTTGAATTATGTTAACTTGTGATTTATTTTTAATTCACATATTAGTTTTGTTGACATTTTGGCTATTTTTATTGGTTATATAACTTTTTAACATATGTTTATAATGTCTATATATTTACTCTATATATTTACATTAGTTAAAATGCTGCGATGTTTTTGCATAGAAAAATACAACAAACGCAAAGAACTAAGTTTTATATTTTTATTTATTTATTTTATAAATTTTTAGCACTTTTTTTGTTTAATTTAAATGTTGTTGTTGTACCTAACTGATAGAAAATGGTTTATTTGGGAAAGGAAATTTTGGGCTGTTCATTTATATTTTTGTTTTCCACTGTAAATTATAAGATTTTTTGTGCAGTTCATTAAAACTTGCCTTTAGATGTGTTCATTTTACAGTTGTTTACTGTATAACATACCGATAATTTGTGTGTGTGTGTAATCCTGCTGCTGATTATGTCTGCACTTTCTATTGTTGAGTGTGTATTGTGTGCAGATCATCAGTGTGACTCAGCTGATGGAGAATTTCACCAATAACACTCAATCACCAACACACACACACACACACACATGCACGCACGCACGCACGCATGCACACACACACGCACACACATGCAAACTCCACACAGAAACGCAGAATGACCCAGCCGGTACTTGAACCAGTGATGCCCTTGCTGTGAGGCGATTGTGCTAACCACTGAGCCACTATCCCCAAATTTTAATTAATGCTGAAAAAATATAAATTCATTCATTCATTCATTCATTCATTTTCTTGTCGGCTTAGTCCCTTTATTAATCCGGGGTCGCCACAGCGGAATGAACTGCCAACTTATCCTGCAAGTTTTTACGCAGCAGATGCCCTTCCAGCCGCAACCCATCTCTGGGAAATGAAAAAATATTAAATATTTATATTTAGTTTTAACATGATTATAATAATTATTATTAAACAGTTGTATTTTTTTAATTCTTACTAATAAAAATGTTTAATAACGCAAATATTTCTAAAAGTATTATAATTTTTTATGAATAGTCTTATTCTGTACTATACTGCACTGTATTGTTACACTATTTTGTTTGCTAATACTTTTATTATTATGATATTTATTAATTATTTTCCTGTTGTCATTTTGTGCCTATGAATGCAATATACGCATTTTTAGCCTATTAAATTTGTTGTTTTTAATTTTACTCTAAAATATTTATTTATTGATTGATTATTTAAATTTTAAATAATTAATTGTTTATTTATTTTTACTATCGACCTATTATTAATTGCTATCCAGCCCTATATTCAGTTTATTAGTCCTCAGGCTTATTTGCATATGCAAATGACAGTTGAGGGTCTCTCAGCCAATCAGAAGCGCAGGTTTGCTAGTGTGTGTGTCTGCAAGTATCCAGACGTCTGTAATCCTCCAGAATCTGCTGTTTACAGGCTCAGTTTGCTCTTCTTCAGACTCTATATATCGAGCGTATAAAGGTTAAAGGTCAAACCCTTCAGCTGTGAAAGTCTTTCCGCACGTACACTAAAGCCAGGGTGAGATTCAACAATATTTTACACCTTTATTTCTGGTTGAACCCAAGTTTACTGCAAAGAAACTGGGTAAGTTGAGCTTGTCTGCATTCAGTTGCGTAATATCGCTCAATGTTTTATGTACAGTATATATTGTTTGTTATAGTCATAGTTTTATAACTGCATGGTAAATAAAGTGAGATCAATTTATAAATTAATTAGTGTTTTTAGCAAGATTTTATGAGTGATTTCAGATCATAGTGTGTGGTGTAATTCAACTTTTTTCACCAAGTATCACCGCAGAAAAAAATTGTCTCCCCAAGTGCCACCGTAATCATCAGTACTGAAATAAAGTAGCATAGTTGACCAAATTAAGCAGCTACAGCACTGCACAGTTCGAACATAATAAATAATAATAAATACTGTTACGACCCCCTCGTTTGAGTCGCAACATAAAAGAGTTCAGACAACAAAAGCATGTATATGCAACTTATTTATTATACATAAAACTAAATAGAACAACAAATCAACAAACAAACAAATATCTAGGGGAAAATAAAGAAAATAACTACTTTAACTACACAAATAAATAAAGCTAAAAAAAAACATAAGGTTGCAGAAATGAAGAGATGATCTTGACACGAGGACGGCCTGTAGCCACACCGTCCTCCAGAAGCTAGCACACAAAACACTTTTATATGGTTGGAGCCTATTAGTGAACAACCAGGCACCCAATCAGGATCTGCCACATCCATACTGAAGTCCTGGGGTCGTCACAATACATTTTATTTGTATAGCACTTTTCCAACATACATGCAACTCAAAGTGCCTTACAAACAACAACAACAATAGACCACATAAACTTGTCACATATACTCGGATAAAAGCATTCATGTACACAAAATATAAGCATATATCCACATGATCACGCACACAATAGTCTTTACATATGCAAGCACACACCATACGTATGCACATAAACCTAAACAATATAGATCAAATGCATACACCTTAAAAGCTTGTGCATTCATATGCAATTTTAAAAGATGTGTCTTAACATGCATTTTAAAAGCATGAATACTGGAAGTGCCGCCAGATCGCATCAGGTTTACAGAGTAAAATTCTAAAAGTCCAGCGCTGGAAGAGCGTAGCAGACGGTTTGGATTATGTTTTGATAAACAGTCGGAAATGTAGGAAGGTGTCATGTTGTGAAGTGCTTTATAAACCAATAAAAGAATCTTAAAATCTATTCTTTGGTGCACAGATAACCAGTGTAATTCTATTAATACTGCTGTGATGTGCTCTTGTTTCTTCAATTTCATTAAAACTCTGGCTGCTGCATTTTGTATCAGTAGCCACTTCATTATAGAACCCTTAGGTAAACCAGTATAAATAGCATTGCAATAATCAAGCCGAGAGAAAATAAAAGCATGAAAAGGAGGCAGAGTCATATTCATTCAACAAAATTATATTCCATACAAAATATGAAGCTGATCAGTCGGCTCGTCACATGACTCGCGGTGCGGCATTCTGAAAAGTTAAGATGTTTTCAACTGGGTACGCCTGGAATACGCAAACGCGTCGTGCTGCAGTTCTTACTTATTTCGCTAGTCTGCGGGTTAAATTTTGGCACTCAAGTGACCCAGATGTAACAAAAAAATACGGTCATTTTTCAAAATAAACGTCTTTTCAAAATAAATGATTGTTCAGATTCAGATTGTAAATAAAACGAAAATAATTCATGATTTTTTGTGTGACCTGTTACCAATTGATCTATAGACTGGTGCCGGTCTGTGGCCCGAGGCTCTGAGACCACTGCTCTAGCAAGTATCTGCTCTGCAAGCACCACGCACCTAGTTTTGCGCCAATTGTATTGATTTTTAGCAGCTGATGATGCGATGCACTAAAGTAAACATTTTACGCACAGCGCTTTGATCGTAGGCTTTAGAGAACAGCCAAATGCTGATCACACTGCTGAATATATTGATCTTCAACTGATAACCGTTTTGAATAAACGTGATTACAATTAGTATTAAAATAATTACATTACATGATTACGATTTTCCCATAATCGAGCAGCCCTACTTTTACGGATTCTACCATGTTTTGAACTGTAACGTTTTGGAGTTTTAGGCTGCGTTCACACCTGTGAATCGATTCAGTTGTTCTGAAACAGAGATTACAATTGTAACATTGTTGCTCTTTGCTCTTGGAGCGGTTCGCTTTCACACTGCAAAGTTTCTAATCGGACCAAAAGAGCTAAAACAAGTCACGTGCGAGTAAACTCTCCTCACATTGGTCAGAGTGTCAGGGTTTATTTTGCAGAGTCCCGCTAAGCTGTCAGGAGAGGTGGTGGTTTGGTGGTGATTGACAGGGTGCGCGCGACGTGTCTGAGGAGAGATGCGGTGGGGAGGGGTGAGAAGGGTGCGCGACGATGTCTATTTGAGGACCGGGAGGGAGACGCGAGATTACCGGAAGATCATCACTCGTTTGCTGGCATCCGGAGACTCGTGAAACTTCCCGCCATACTCATAATTCTCTCTTCATATAGCCGTAAGCCTATTACATATCCATAACACACTGTGATATAACCGCGCTCGGATCGGATCGCTTTCTCACTGTAATCGAACCGCTCCAGGGTTCGTTTCAATCGAGCCGAGACCACCTCATTCAAGCGATCTCGGAGCGATTACTGTGGCGCGGAACAGAGCGCGATTGCCCTGTTCACATATGCCAAACGAACCACGCTAACTGGGCAAACGAGACACGTTCCCAAACAAAAATGTAGGTGTGAAAGCACCCTAAGAAATAAACACAACAAATGATTAAAAACAGATAAAGAATGTGTTAAAACAGGAACGAAAAGAGAAAAGAACGACATTATAGTGTGAATAGTTGCTTTATTTTTGTTTTTTTTGTAATTAAAGCATCCAGAGGGGCGGCACGGTGGCTCAGTGGTTAGCACTGTCACCTCACAGCAAGAAAGTCACTGGTTTAAGTCCTGGCTGGGTCATTTGGCGTTTCTGTGTGGAGTTTGCATGTTCTCCTTTGTGTTGGCGTGTGTGAACACATGCGCTAGGGGAATTGATGAACTAAATTAGCCATAGTGGATGAGTGTGAATGGGTGTTTCCCAGTACTGGGATGCTACTAAAAGGGCATCTGCTATGTACAACATATGCTGGAATAGTTGCTGGTTCATTCCACTGTGGAATAAAGGGACTAAGCTGAAGGAAAATGAATGAAGCATCCAAATAAGTGTTGATCTCTGGTCATTATTGTGAGTGAAATGACAGACATACACTGTAAACAAATGAATGACAAATAGTTTAAATATTTTGATGCTGCTTTAACTCTTATTTTAATGAATTTATCAGGTTTCAACTACATTTTTTTAAGTTATACAAAAGTTGAACTTAATATTTTGAGTCAGTTTGATTGATGTAAGTTGAGATGACTTAAATAGTTTAAGGCAGCAATATTTTAACAGTGCACGGCAGATTGAGAAGAATGTGGAGCTGCTGATCTGCTTTGTGTCCGCATGAAAGGTTAATCTCTCCTTCATTATTCTGTTGTTCAGTGGCAGATGGAGCTTCGGTCCGGCCGGAAACACGGATTTACCTCCGTCACGCTTTCTGTAAACAAAAGCAGAAGAATTAGCATAGTTTAACATCGTGTTAATGAAGGGACTAAGCTGAAGGAAAATGAATGAATGATCATTGTTTTAATAAATATCCCTAAAGAAATCTGTCTTGGAAATACAAGCTGCCACATACAACAATTCCTAGCATACAGTCCAACACACAGGGGAAAATAAGAGTGGGTAACACTTTGGGTTAAAAAAAAAAGGAAGTTTTCTGTTAATTTACTCACATGTATTGAACATTATTTACAATATTATTACATTTAATCCATATTCTGCTGAAAATAAAGTGTGACTACATGACAGTAGATAGCTTTATGTGCACTAGAGAAACTGTTTAAATCAAACTCAGCCATATACGCTCTAAAACTCCACGCAATCGCTAATCAACACGCAATCCCTAATCTCAGTTTAGTCAAAACTCAAAATTGATCTGGACACTAGAAACTCAGACTGCTAAAAATATTGGAGTGAATGTGGAGACAACATAAAACATTATATTTGTATTACTTTATTACTTACATTAATGAACAGAAATGTTTTTTTTTTTTTTAATATAGACTTTTTCTGATTAAAAAAATGACCAAATAAAGTCCTATTTCTCATCTCACGCGCACGGACCTGCTTGGACAACACTGGAATACATCACATCCGGTCGGCCGGTCGCATACGGTCTAGTAACAAGAGTTAATCCTCCTTTCCACTGCACACGACAAGCGACAGACTGGAAGTCATTCCGCCCCCTTGTGGCAGTCGCAGTATTTTCAGTGTTGTCGTGCACCATGGGAGAGAAGCTGATTCTCTCAGTGTCCGAAATAAAGGAGTGCAAAAGCAAGAGTCTTTATTCTCGGTGCGTTTACATGTTTAATGAATGAATGAATACTAGAAACTCATAGACCGCTAAAATATTAGAGGGAATGTGGAGACAACATTAAAATATATATATTTTTATTACTTTCTTACTTACATTTATGCACAGAAATGTTTTTTTTAATATATAGACTTTTTATAATTCAAAAAAATAACCAAATAAAGTCCTATTTCTTATCTCGCGCGCACGGATCTGCTTGAACAACACTGGAATACATCACATCCGGTCGGCTGGTCGCATAAGTTCTAGTCTCAGGAGTATATTTCAACGGATCCGCAGCTCAATTCGGATCCAAATTTTCCCCATACGGAGATGATCGGAAGTCCACGCAGCTCCCGGACTGCTCTCCATAGGAAATGAATGACTTCCGGTCTGTCGCTTGTCGTGTGCAGTGGAAAGGAGGCTTTTTTGGCTTAGTCTCTTTATTCATCTGGGGTCACCACAGTGGAATGAACAGCAAACTATTCCAGCATATGCAGCAGAAGCTCACAACCCATACACACTCATTCACACTCATACACTACGGCAGGTTTAGTTAATCGATTCCCCTATAGCACATGTGTTTGGACTGTAGAGAAAACCCACACCAACATGAGGAGAACATGCAAACTCCACACAGAAACACCAACTGATCCAGCCGGGACTCGAACCAGTGATCTTGTTGCTGTGAGGCGACAGTGCTAACCACTGCTCCACTGTGATACCCCAACACAGAACTTAAACAAGTTAAATAAACTTTTCAAATATATATATATTTATTTCAGCCAATGTTTATTATATATTGAATAATAAAAATGTTTAGTTTTACTTTCAGTTTTAGTCATTGTTAAAACTGCGAGAGTGAAATTTTTCATGAACTCTTGACCTCAAATACACTTGTTTTGTTTTTGTGATCTTTACCTTGATATTCCTTATTGCATATATAATTAATCTGATTCAGTCTGATATTCTTAAAGCATTGTACAGTTTGCCTTTGGCTTTATGCACCCGGTTTATTTCTACAGTATATTGTGTTTCTCCTTTGTGTTGCGCAGGGACGGTAATATGGTGGATATTGTAACGCAAACAATGCCTGCAGAAAGTGACGTACACGTGGCCAGGAACTTTCTCACCAAGATTTTGAGAAGTTCTATGAGGTATCGTGCAGCTGTGGGCGTCTCCCTAATAAAATACTATAGTAAACACTGTTTTGAACCATACTGTAGTAAAATAATTAATCTGTTGGGGTGATTCTATAGTTGCTATAGCAATGCAACAACAATAGTAACCGATCTGTTGTGGTGATTCTATAGTTGCCATGGTAACACATCAACTATAGAAGTTAATCTGTTTTGATTTTTCTATAGTTGCTATGGTAACTCAACTATAGTAGTTGATCTGTTGTGGTGATTCTATAGTTGCTATGGCAATACAACAAGTATAGTAATTAATCTTTTGTGGGGATTCTATAGTTGCTATGGTAACACAACAACAAAAGTAATCGATCTGTTGTGATGATTCTAGAGTTGCCATGGTAACACAACAACAATAGTAATCGATCTGTTGTGGTGATTCTAGAGTTGCCATGGTAACACAACAACAATAGTAATCGATCTTTTGTGGTGATTCTACAGTTGCTATGGTAACACAACAACTATAGTAATCGATCTGTTGTGGTGATTCTACAGTTGCCATGGTAACACAACTACAGTAATAGATCTGTTGTGGTGATTCTACAGTTGCCATGGTAACACAACTACAGTAATCGATCTTTTGTGGTGATTCTACAGTTGCTATGGTAACACAACAACTATAGTAATCGATCTGTTGTTGTAACTCAACAGTTGCTATGGTAACACAACAATTATAGTAATCGATCTGTTGTGGTGATTCTACAGTTGCCATGGTAACACAACAACTACAGTTATCGATCTGTTGTGGTGATTCTACAGTTGCCATGGTAACACAACAACTACAGTTATCGATCTGTTGTGGTGATTCTACAGTTGCCATGGTAACACAACAACTGTAGTAATCGATCTGTTGTGTGGATTCTATAGTCGCCATGGCAATGCAACAACTATAGTAATATTGACAATACACCACAGTTTACTGTAGTAAAAACTAAATTATTCTACAGTATTTATTACATCTTCCAGTATGCTGGAAGATTTGTTAAAGGGATAGTTCACCCAAAAATGTAAATTCTGTCATCATTTACTCAGCCTCTGCTTGTTTCAGACCTTTTTTGAAACAACATTTGAACAATGTTGGAACCCCGTGAGAATTGACTGCCATACTATTTGTTTTTTCTCCTATGAAAGTCAATGGTTGCAGGTTTTCAGCATTCTTCACAATATCTTTTATTGTTAAAAGGTGAAAGAAAGTCAAACAGGTCTGAAACAAGTAAGGCTGTGAGTAAATGATGACAGCATTTTCATTTTTGGGTGAACTATCCCTTTGACAAAGAGTAGTCAATACTATACACTTTACTATAGTGTGGTTCAGAAACACCTTAGCATTTGCTATAATTTATTATAGTACTTTTATATGTGGGCTGTCTTGTGACCCTCTAGTTTTCACCCATCCGTCCCTACCAGACCCGAGTCTCACACTTTTAGCCATGTGGTGTCTTAGCTGTAGCTGTGCTGCTCACGTGCAAGACTGGGATTATATGCTTAAGCTGATTATCGTGCTGTCATTTTCACTGGCTTCTGTAGAACCCCTGAGCGTCTCTCCAGCATCTTTAGTGTTTCCTGCTGTCTTGTTGATAAATGTAAAATGTTTTAATGTGACTCCCTCCCCATTTCTCCATTTCACCTTGCATACATTTCAGGAAAAACCGCTTCAAAGGGTATGTCGATTACTGTTAAATGAGTGATTATCATTAAAGGAGTCATGAACTGCGTTGTTTTTTTATCTTGTACTGTTCTTTGAGGCCTGCTTATAATGTTATCAAGATTTTTTTTAAAACTTTGATGTAATTTAGAAGTAACTGACTATTTTATGTGCTGTTTTTGACCCTCGTGTTCTGTTTGAGTGGGCATGGCCAACTGTAGACTCAGAAGTAAACGCCCACTTTTCTTATAGGCTGACAGTTTTGCATATTCATTCATTTTCTTTTCATCTCAGTCCCTTTATTAATCCGGGGTCGCCACAGCGGAATGAACCGCCAACTTATCCACATGTTTTACACAGCGGATGCCCTTCCAGCTGCAACCCACCTCTGGGAAACATCCATACACACTCATACACTACGGGAAATTTAGCCTATCCAATTTACCTGTACCGCATGTCTTTGGACTGTGGGGGAAAGCGGAGCACCCGGAGGAAACCCACGCGAACGCAGGGAGAACATGCAAACTCCACACAGAAACGCTTAAGTTCATGACCCCTTTAAATTGTCTTGTGGAAAAGGAACTAGTTGTTACTCCTTCACTATGGCCTAATTTGAAGCCATAGTCATTCTGTCTGTTTGCATTTCAGGAGGAATGAATCGTCATGTAGACCCCATTCATGGCACTCAGCTAAATCCTCGGAAAGCTCCAACCCAAACGACTCCAAATCTGAACCCAACCCAGCACCTGACCCCACTTGGCAGACAAAATGTGATCCTGGGTGAGATTCTGAGTATGTCTATGCAATTGATGTATGAACTGAACTCAGTCAGCATTATCAATTATACTTGTTTGTCACCAGGTCACCCACAAAAGAATTCACCAGCTGTTGGGGACAGACCAATCTGCGACAAGCATCCTGCCAGTTCAGCTCGGTCAGAAATATGGAAAGCGTAGAGCCCTCATCTCATGCTTTCTCAAAAGAACAACCTTTAACAAGCAAACCCAATGGAGGAGCAGATCACGAGGTGCTTGAAAGTGCAATCAGCAAACCTGCTTTGCCAGGCAATGCATTTTCAGGCACAGCTGATCATGGTGCACCTCGGGGTGCCAATCCCACAGAAGGGGTGTTTTACAGAGGCGATCTAACAGTCCCGAGTGACTGCCACAGATACCTGCAGATCCCCATAGGCAATGGGGGACGAGTGAGTCCCAGTGTTGAGGAGCAATCTAGCTCCAGACTCTCCTCTACTGCGAGATCAAACCATAGACCTGTGTGGCATATTCCAGAGAATAAGATGTCCAGTTCTGAAGCTCCTCCTGCTCCTCCTTTGCGGAGTGATAGTTTCACTGCCACCAGAGTTCATGAGAAGAGCTTAGTGGGATTGTTCCCTGAGGGACACACTGTATATCCACTACAGAGACCTCCCTGTAGAGCTGTGGACAGACAATTAGAGGACGTGAGACACAGCTACAACTCGCCTCCAAAGAAGGACTACCTTGAGCCATACCTTCCAGTTGAGGACTACCCAAATCAGCTAAACCCTACCAAACTCTTTTCCCTGTCAAGCACTGATGTAAGACAAGGCCAGAATCCGTTTGCCTCTGAGTTTCAGCATCAGAGACAGCACAGTGATGATAGTCCATTTTCTGTGTATAACAACTCTACATGTTCATCAAAGTCTCAGAGTGTTGGGAGCTACTACCGAAGTTTGCAAGATTTGCCTAATAATGTTAGCAATCAAAACAAAACTAGAACCAGCACAGTCTTTGATCCCAACCATGATGGCCAAGCTCATTTCCGTTACTACTGCATCACTGCCCAACAGCCATACCTGGAGTCATCTTCTCACTGTCGGATGGTAGATGAACAAAGTTCTGAAATGGGAAAAGCACAAGGTGCCACAGATAGAAGCTTTGTAGGTTCTCAAAAGGTTATAAAAGCAAAGCATCCCCAACTGTACCTTAGTTTACCCGAGAACAAGAGATCCAATGGTTACAACAAACAGTCCATCAGTCCAGCTTCAGCTCAAGCTGTGTCCCCGATATCAAATAATTTGATTTCAAAGCACAGTTCTGTGGAAAGAGAGACTCAAAAAAAGAAAGATAAGCCTCAGCCTTCCAGGCACATTCCAAACCACCAGACTGAGCAGAACTCCATGTACACTTACCAACATGACAATCCATGGATCAGCAAGCAGGATCTGAAGATCTGTCCCCACAAAACCCCCTTGTTGCATTCATTGGCCCAGGAGAGTAAGAAAATGGCAGAAAATTCGATTACAACAGCCTCCAAAGGAGGTAGTCATGAATCAAGTGATGCCAGCAGTGGAAAGCTGGGAAGACGAAGTGACCGCTATGCCACAACTTTACGCAAAGAGATTCAAAAGAAGAGGGCTCAACTTCAAAAAAGCAGAAGCGCAGCTACCTTGACTTGCTCAACTGAAGTTGAGGAGGACTCTGACATATGGAAGTCCAATGAAACCTCCACATCCTCTTCTGATGGTTCCTTTACTAACACGTACAAGGATCATCTGAAGGAAGCCCAAGCCAAAGTTCTACAGGCTACATCATTCATGAGGAAAGATCTGGAGCTTCCTGGGAATGAAGTTGTGTCTGCTCAACTTCCCAAAAGACCTGGGCAAGTCACCCGCATTGGAGGTCGTAAACGCTTTCCCATGGATAAAAAAATACATTCCTTCTCTGAACCGGACAAGATCAATGAGGTCGGAGTTGAAGATAAAGCTGGCGGGTCTTTTGCAGACCGATACAAGTTCTTTGAAGGTTCTGGCAAAGCGGTTGTCCAAAAGCCCATTCCAAAGCAGTCCCTGCTTGGTCCTACTGTAGACCACAGTGAGAGAAAGACTGGAGAAGCTGAAAGTATCCCTCGAGTACTGTTAAAGCAAAGTAAATCCAGCCATTCTGACCTTAATGCAGATGAGCAACAAAGGCTTGGTACATTTGCAGAATATGAGGCTACATGGAACTTGCAGAAGAAGCAAGTGGAAAGAAGAAACACAGGCAGATACCATTCAGCTGAAAATATTTTGGACTCAGGCTTGGAGGAATCCAACAGTGCACTGTGTGTGCATGAAAGATCACGCTCCTCACCTTCTGCTGACTTCTATGGACAGGTAAGAAGAAAGATTGAATGTACTGTTTAGCAGTAGTTGCAAACGCCCTAATTGTATAAAATTGCACTTGCAAGGTTGTAGGTTCAGTTCCTAGTACTGGCAGAGATTGTAGTGGGGGGAATATATTAATGGTGCTTTCTTCCATTCTCAATAACCACCACCGAAGCACTCTTCAGCAACAGAACTAATCCATAATTGCTTACTGGGCACCAGAACAAAGTGTGTTCAGTAACTTAAATGTGTTGGTAAGGGTTACCATATTTGGCCAACACATCATTTAATTTAAAATTCTGATCTTAATAGGGATAGTTTCCCCAAAAAGGAAATTCCTCTCATTGATGACCCTCATATCGATCTAAAACTGAGAACTTTGGTCATTTTTGGAATACAAATTAAGATATTTTTGGATAAAATCCAAGAGCTCCTTATCCTTCCACAGATAGCCAGAGCATGGAAACATTATAATCCAACTGTTTCTTCTCAGTGTCACTATTAAATCTTTGACATTATGTTTTTTACAAATTCACATCCCTTTCAGAAACTTCCTTTGCCACCCAGAAAGTTACCTTTGGATTCTCCACCTGAAGCCAAAGACCAACAGGAGGCTCATATTTCCAGGTTAGCAATTCTCGTTTAAACTTATCTTCCATTTAAGGCAAGTAGGGGTGAAATATGAAATGACTGATAATGTGTATTTCCACCTCACAGTGCATCTGAAAAGGAACACAATGCACTTAATATTTCCAAGTCTCAAGAGTCCATCACAATGAGCATTCTGGACAATTCAGTTGAACCTCTTGGATACAACCAGAAATCCAGATCTGACACCAAGCAGCCAGCACCGATTACTTCACAACATCTCCAGGTTCCCATGTCAGAGCAACTTCTTCCCAAAAACAATGGTCTTATACCACAACACAAAGAACTTGAAACCACCTGCCCAATCATGGCTTCCCTAGAAGTCAGGATTCAGACCTTTTCACCAGAGCCAACACAAGAACGCCTGAGACTCAATACTTCAGAACCTCTGGACGGAGACATGCATGCACAAGTGGATGAGCATAAATCAGAGAGGATGTTATCTCCTATTCCACATAATTCAGCTGGTTCCCCTATCCCTCCCAAGCAGAAGGCTGACCTGACGGTAACCTCAGCCAGCAGAACACGTTCTCCTTCTCCTCAGTTCTTTCCACAGAGACTCACGGATGAACCTCCTGCAAATGTGTACAAAAAGGATCCATGCAGGTAATGTCAATATTACATACTGACAGGACAATAATCTAAGGCTGTTTTAAGGGGTTAGTTCACCCATAAATGCATATTATGTTATTAATTAGTCACCCCCATGCCATTCCATTCCCCCAAATGAAGATATTTTAGATTAAATCTGGAAGCTTCCTCAGCCTCCATAGAAAGCAATGGTTTTGAGATGTTCAATATGCAGAAAAGGAACCAAAAACATTGTCAAAACATTCAGTATGGCTATTCAGTGGTTCTACTGTAATCATACAAAGAGAATAAGGTGACACTTTTCTGACAATACTGGCTGTACTGATTAGGGAAGGACTTGATGCAGAAGAAAAGACAAAGCCAAACAGAGTCTTAATGTGGGCAACAGTACAGGGTCTTCATTGTTTCATTTTGCGATTTGTAAAGGGCTATGAAACCCCCTTGTTTTAGCAGGGTGTTTTCACACCTCTACTTTGGAAAAAGTCAGAAAAGTGGGCGTGTCCAGCTCTGTTTAGGGGGGAGTGTCGGAGAAAGAAAAGAGACATGGTGTGGGAGTGTCTATTTGGGTGCGCTGAGTTTCAGAGTCAAAATACACACACACAGGGGAGGAAGTGACTGTGTTTACATGGACATCTGTAGTCGAATTATTTGCCAAATGATTAAATGGTGGACTTTAACTGTAGTTTGGCTCTTTCATTCAGGGAATTCATTCATGTTCCTCGTGACAAACGAGATATTTGATTTGAGGAGCTGCTCTAAGCGTGTATTTTTCATGCAATGTTTGATACCGCACGGCGAATGAGAGAAAAAAACCCTCCGCATTTCCCGGAAACTTAGATGCACATGGCAGGTAGCGTCAGAAAGCCGCGTGTGTTATTCCGGTCACTAAATGCGGTGAAAATCCTACACGAGGTTAAAGTTTGGTTGTGGTGCTGACATGTTTACACTCGGTGCAATAGTTAGTTCAATACGAACAAGCTGAATAAACAAAGAGCACTGGCCGCTCACTTACCAAATCTGTAGAGACAGGACAATCACCAGCAACTAGAGCCGCGTCTTTATTAAGAGGAGACGAGCAGCGAATCCGGATCTCAGCGTTTGCAGATGAGAACAGCTCTCAGGTAAACAATAATCCTCCTTAGACACGTAAGTTATTGTTGTGGAGCGTCGCGTACACTGTTAATCCACACGTGACTCCAGCTGCGCTCTCACAGAGAGAAAATGAAAACAAAACTTCACTGCAGCAAACTATAAAAGCAACACTTCACGCTTGTTTCGCCAACACAACGTGGCGTCTCTGTCGTCTAAACACTGTGACAGTAATGAATATTAATGAAGTTGCACAATAGAGCGCGCTGATTGGTTTGAACCAAGCTTTACTCATGCATTAATGCAGCACACTGTAAGACGTAATAAGACACACTCTGGCACAGACGTCCAGTCTGCACGCTGGAATACACGCTATTATCTCATGACCGTGACGCAGCTTCAACAATTTGTTTCAAAGCGGAAGAACGAATTTGCTTGAAATAACGCAAAAACAACCAATTTACACTTTTTAGTGAAATATAGGTGTCCTAATAGTGTTTTTAGCAGTGTGGGACACATATACCACTGTCAACAGCTCAACACATGTGTTCTGGTGTTTCGTGACCCTTTAAAATGTGCCACACATTCTCTATTGGAGACAGGTCGGGACTGCAGGCAGGACAGTCAAGTACATGATTCCTCCTCCTCCACAGCCAGGACTTTATAATGTGGGCAGTATGTGGTTTTGCGTTGTCTTGTTAAAATATGTATGGGTGTCCCTGGTGAAGAGGGCAGTATATTGTGGATTAATTGTGCCATCACAGAAGTCGTAATATCTTTATTTGTTTTGCGAAGATGAATGTTCATCAGGATGAAGAAACTCATAAGGGTTTGAAAATACTTGAGGAAGAGTAAATAACATGTTAATTTTCATCTCTGAGTGAACTATCTCCAAGGTTTCATTGCTCAAATCTACATAGTTGGGGGAAGTGTGCTTTATTTTCAAATCATGACCAACTTGTTCTCTATTTTAGTAGTAAGGTGGAAGAGCCAAACACTCCTGGCAGAAAGGTCCCCATACAGATTGTTTGTACAGAAAATGGTTCAGAGAGAGACATCCGAAACTATCTGCTGCACTCAGAATCATCTGAAGAGCCTCAAACTGGCCAGCTAAAAACCCTGGAATCTTCAGAGCAATGTCATGCACCATTCATCGCATACTCAAACCAGATAGAAGAACCAATATTAGACCCTTTCAAACCAATGAGGAGCAACGGTGTGAGCGAACACTCGGAGGACGATCTGAAGCGAGAGGAGCTGGCCAGAGATATAATGGGGAAAGACAGGAGTCTGGTGGACATTCTGGACCAGAGAAAGATGAAGACCACCATGGATCTGATGGAGGGAATATTTCCACAGGGCGAGCAGATACTGGAGGGAGCGCAGCAGAGGAGGAAAGCGGCGTCCAAACAGACGTCTCCTAAAAATGCACAGCAGAGGTAAACCACTTACACTACAAAAACAGAAAAACATTTCCTAGTCACTTTGGCTTGTTATATACACGCTTTAAAGCACCAAATACGAACCTTTTGTTATTAATATGTAATTTTAAATTACCAATACAGACCCTTTGGCTTCTAATATGTAATTTTAGACCACCAATATGGACTTTTTAGGTCCTTATATATACTTTTAAGGCACCAATATGGACTTTTTAGGTGCCAATATATAATTTTAAGGCCCCTATATGGACTCTTTATGTGTTAATATATAATTTTAAGGCACCTATATGGACTTTTAGGTGTTAATATATAATTCTAAGGCCCCTATATGGACTCTTTAGGTGTTAATATATAATTTTAAGGCACCTATATGGACTTTTAGGTGTTAATATATAATTTTAAGGCACCTATATGGACTCTTTAGGTGCTAATATATAATTTCAAGGCACCAATATGGACTTTTTAGGTGTTAATATATCATTTTAAGGCACCTATATGGACTTTTAGGTGTTAATATATAATTTTAAGGCACCTATATGGACTTTTAGGTGTTAATATATAATTTTAAGGCACCTATATGGACTTTTTAGGTGTTAATATATCATTTTAAGGCACCTATATGGACTTTTAGGTGTTAATATATAATTTTAAGGCACCTATATGGACTTTTAGGTGTTAATATATAATTTTAAGGCCCCTATATGGACTTTTAGGTGTTAATATATAATTTCAAGGCACCTATATGGACTTTTAGGTGTTAATATATAATTTTAAGGCACCTATATGGACTCTTTAGGTGCTAATATATAATTTCAAGGCACCTATATGGACTTTTAGGTTCTAATATATCATTTTAAGGCTCCTATGTGGACTTTTTATGTGCTAATATATAATTTTAAGGCACCTATATGGATTATTATGTGCTAATATATTATTTTAAGGCACCTTTGTGGACTTTTTAGCTACTAATATATTAAATGTATATATGATATTTCCATTTTTTTCAGCAGCAGTATGCAAATGTTTTAAAGTCCATCAGCCTGAGTTACAGTGTTTGTTTTCTCCTTAATTCTCATTCAAATGACACTAACTACAGGATTTAAAGTCAAACCTGCTCACTATTGCCCTCTACTGACAAACACACACAAACATATAACCCACACAGTGTACTTGAGCATGACTAAACTATTCTATACTATTATTCTATACTATATGTAGAATTTCCTTATTAGTGACTGAATAATGTTTGTTTCTTCAGGATGGAGGAGAGTCTGTCTTCATCAGTCTCGTTGGTCAGCAGTTCATCATATTACAGCACATCTGCACCCAAAGCAGAGCTGCTCATTAAGATGAAGGACATGCAGGAGCAGGACTCAGAGGATGAGCTCACTACTGACCTCTCCAGCAAGAAGGTGCTCGCTTTATTTACATTTCACTGTGTTATTGCATCCGGAGTGTGAATTACAGGAAGCTTTGACCTCCTAATTGCGCTTAATTCCCCTGTCAAAACAAGATGTTGTGGGGCTCTGCTCTTTATATAGTGGAAATAGTTTGCAGTCAGTATTTTACATAATAATATTAATGAAAAAATACATTCATTTTACAATTCATTCATTCATTTACCTTTAGCTTAGTCCCTTTATTCATCAGGGGTCGCCACAGTGGAATGAATCGCCAACTTATCCAGCATTTTTTTTATACAGTGGATGCCCTTTCAGCTGCAACCCAATACTGGGAAACACCCATACACACTCATTTACACTCATACACTACGGCAAATTTAGTTCAACAAATCCCCTACTGTGCATGTGTTTGGACTGTGGGGGAAACCGGAGCACCCGGAGGAAACCCACGCCAACACGGGGAGAACATGCAAACTCTGCACAGAAACACCAACTGAGCCAGCCGGGACTCCAGCGACCCGATTGGCTAGAACTCAAGTTGATTTTGAAAAAAATAAACTGAAATAGAAGTGGTAGCTCCGCCCACATGATTCCCATTGGTCCCTCCACAGTATACACTCATTCTGATTGGCTACAACCGGAGTTGGTTGATTTTCCTGTTTAGTAATCTGATGCTTCTGTCACTTCTCCAGCAAGAGCTGATGGACAGTTTGAGCAAGAAGCTGCAGGTTCTGAGAGAGGCTCGTGAAAGCCTGCAGGAGGACGTTCAGGATAATAACGCTCTGGGAGAGGAAGTGGAAGCCACAGTCCAGAGCGTCTGCAGAGCCAATGAGCTGGAGAAGTTTCGCATGTTTGTTGGAGATCTGGATAAAGTGGTCAGTCTGCTGCTGTCTCTGTCTGGACGGCTGGCACGTGTGGAAAACGCACTCGATAACCTGGAGGAGGGAACATCCGCTGACGAGAAGGTGTTGTTTTACTATTAATTTTAAGGTTTATATATATTATAAGTTTAATATATATATATATATATATACACACACACACACACACACACACACATATATATATATATAGTTGAAACCAGACGTTTACATGCACTCCCAAAAAAGGAGCATAACCATTTTTAAAAAAAATGTCTGATGACAAACGATTACTATTTTAGGTCTGTTAGGATTACCTAAATCAATTTGCATTTGCTCAATGCCAGAATAATGAGAGAATTTTTGATTTTGAGAATTGTTTATTAATTTCTAGACTGTCGAAAGTTTACACACATTACCTTGGTATTTTTTAGCTTTGCTTTTTAAACTGTATAACTTTAGTCAAATGTTTTGGGTCTCCTTCCACAAGCTTCTCACAATAGTTTGCAGGAGTTTTGGCCCATTCCTCCTGACAGAATTGCTGTAACTGAGTCAGATTTGTAGGCTGTCTTGCTTACACAAGCTTTTTCAACTCTGCCCACACATTTTCTATAGGATTGAGATCAGGGCTTTGTGATGGCCACTCCAAAACATTCACTCCGTTGTCCTTAAAGCACATTTGAACTAATTTGGCAGTGTGCTTTGGTCTGTTTGGAAGACTTATTTGTGGCCAAGTTTTAATTTGCTGGCTGATGTCTTGAGATGTTGCTTCAGTATTTCCACATAATGTTCTTTCTTCATGATGCCATCTATGCTGTGAAGTGAACCAGTCCCTCCTGCAGCAAAACAGCCCCACAACATGATGCTGCCGCCCCCATACTGCACAGTTGGGATGGTGTTTCTAGGCTTGTGCGCTTTCCCCTTTGTCCTCCAAGTGTAGCACTGCTCATTATGGCCAATCAGTTCAATCTTAGCTCCATCAGTGCACAGGACATGTCTCCAAACATGAGTCTTTTTCCCAATTTGATTTAGCAAACTGTAATCTGGCTTTTGTGTTGATTCTGGCTTGTTGATTTCCCCATGTTGTCACACAAGGAAGCAGTGTGTTTGAGGGTTCCCATCAATACTATTCTACAGTTGTGCCTCACATTAACTCAAATGTTGTCAATTAGCCAATCAGAAACTTCCAAAACCCTGACATCATCATCTGAGCTTTTCCAGCGGCAGAATAATCTGATTGTGTGTAAACTTGACTTTCAAGAAGAGTTATAACCATTTATCTGAATATATATCTCTCATTATTCTGTTATTAAGCAGAACAGAAACGCATGTAATCATCCTAACTTAACTAAAAGAGGAAAAATTTAGTCACATTAACATCTGACTTGTTTTTAAATGGTTATGTGCCTTTTTATACAGTGCATTTAAACTTCTGCTTTTAATTTTATATATATATATATATATATATATATATATATATATATAATTCATATTAATTATTATTTATTTAATAAGATAAATAACGCAACACAATTTTTAAGCAACATTTTAGGCACCATTAATTTTAACAACCTTTTTAAGCAGTTTCAATCCAAAATATAAGCTCTTTTTAAATCTTGAAAACACTAGAACACAATTTTAAAGCATTTCCAGCACCCATAAAAACCCTGAAAAGCTTCGACAAGACGCTTTGAATGTAAATATGACGTGACAAATTGTATTATTTTCAGCAAACGTTGACGGAGAAGCGCAGGCTGCTGATTGGTCAACATGAAGACGCCAAAGAGCTGAAGGAGAATCTGGACCGCCGCGAGCGCGTGGTTTATGAGATCCTGACGGGATACTTCAGGGAAGAGCAGCTGGCAGATTACAGACACTTCGTTAAAATGAAATCGGCGCTTATTATAGAGCAGCGCAAACTGGAGGACAAGATAAAACTGGGAGAAGAGCAGCTGAAGTGTCTGAAGGAGAGTCTGCCGCTCGAACAGAGACTCCTGTACTGATGCATTCATCTTCTCTCACACATCTCACTTTTATTTATCCAAGCATTGCTGCGCATCCGCTCGTGTATTTGCCGATTCAAAGGGTTAGTTCACTCAAAAATAAACAGTCTGTCTTTTATTATTCACCCTCATGTTGTTGCAATTCCAATGAGGCTTTTGTTTATCTTCAGAACACAAATTAAGAGATTTTAGATGAAATCCTGGAGCTCTCTCATCCTCTATAAACAGCAAGACACTTCCTTCAGCTCCTCCAGGGGGATCCTGAGGTGTTCCCAGGCCAGCATAGTCCCTCCAGCGTGTCCTGGGTCTTCCCAGAGGTCTCCCCCCATTGGGACATGCCTGGACAAGCCTCCCTAGGTAGGCAGGAGGCATCCAAAACAGATGCCCAAACCACCTCAGCTGACTTCTCTGGATGTGGAGGATCAGCGGCTCTACTCCGAGCTCCAACATCATGCAAATTACAGAACTTTTATTTTGGATGTGATTAATCTTTGCTCAGCACTAAAAATTATCAGATAATTTCCTGTGACTTCAGTGGATCAACTGTAATCATACGACGCTCCAAAAACACTTTTGTGCATCGAAAAAACTGCACAATTTCAGATTAGGATGTGAGTTTATGTGTTTACTACAGGCTATTTGTGTTTGCATTTTTTTTATTTATTTTTTTGCACAAAAGTGTTTTTAGGGTTTAATTATGGGCAAACTTGAATTTTTGCGTGAACTAACCCTTGAACTGCTGATTTAATTGAAAGGATCTCTTTTAGCCCGTACATATGTTTTTTCTACATGTGTGTGTGTGTGTGTATGTGTATATATATGTATATATATATGTGTGTGTGTGTGTGTGTGTGTGTGTGTATATATATATATATATATATATATATATATATACATATACATACATGCATACATACACACACACACACACACACACACACACACACACACACATTTAACTAATTTATTTTGCTACTGAATGCTGATGGTGCTATTAACTCAAAGGTTAGGTCTACTTTCTCTGAACTAGATCCACAATGAAAGCTCTTTTATTATTAAGTCTGTGTTTGCTTCAGAACATCTCAAATATCAGTTAATAGTATGTTTGGATTTATTTATAGTTTCCAATCTCACTGTGATAGAACAATAGTTTATAGATATATGAAATATTGTTCATGAATACATTTTCAATGCACTTCCGCTGCAATAAATTGAATTTAAAACAGAAACTGAGTGCTTTTTAAGCTGCTGTAAATGTGGACGCAGTCTTTAATGATGCACAAAGATGCTCATGGTAAGTTTTTCCATCAATAGTAATCAGGGATGTGATTTTTTTCAATATAAATACATATTCCCGTATTTTCAGAGCTCAATGTGGCGTCTGTAATTTGCGTAAATCTGAAGTTTTACTCATAATCTGATTAATAATTGGCATATCCCTCATGATTTTATGATCTTTATGAGTCTTTACTGTGTTTTGTGAATTCTCAGTGTGTTTGGGTTTTACGTTGTTGACAGTAATCCTGAACTGTTGTCACTTATTTACAAAATCATATTCATGAGTATTTACACAGGATTTCTGAGCATCAGGACGTCGAATTTCAGAAAGCTGAAGATGTGGACGTGTGCTGATATACGGTAATAACATCATTTTTACTATTTACTTTACTTAGATGTATATTTTGAGTTTTCCACAAACAAGATATGACAATATTTATATTCAGCATAACATCAGTTTGCATGAAGTCTTCAATTGCCATAAAGAATAAAATGACACACACTGAATATTGTCTATTATATTAACATAACTGCATAAATATGAGATTGTGATATGATTTTTTGTCATTGTGTGATTTAAAATTATGTTTATTAATGGTTTTAATAGAAAGCAACAGTACTAAGGATTATTACTTAGGACTAAAAATACAAAAAACATTTTAATAAACTGAATTAAAAAATATTAAATTAATAATTAAAAGAACCTATGAAGCAAAAATAATTACATTTGAAATGAGCAACTATATATTAGTTGCCTATGATATGTTAAATTAATTAATGTAAGTTTTAAGTAATTGAAAGGTTTTTAATTATTGTAAAAAATATTATTGTTAAATTGTAAAAATAAAATACTAATTAAAACAAATCATGACTTAAATAATGCCCTAAATTACCTAAAATTATTATATAAAAACCTGATATACTGTATATATATATATATATATATATATATATATTCTCTCTATCTTTATAGGTTTTCCACTAAAATGCTCATTTAATCTAAGTTTTAATCTTAGTCAATTATTATTAAATTAATTAATTAATTAAGAAGTTTATTATTAATAGTAATTTTGATTCGATCCAAGACCGACGACGTGATGATCCCATGGTTTCCATAATCCTGGACCAGGCCGTATCCTGAGCGGCTGCAGTGGTGGTCATGGAGGAGTGGAGAGCATGAGACTGATTCCTGTGACGCTCCAGGGACAGACGAGTCTCTCTGACGTCCAGTTTCTCCAGCGCCTAGACTGCAGCTCTGCACAAGACGTTTGGCCAGCGGAGAAATGTTCGTGCCCAACTGAGTCTGGTTTATCTCTAGGTGTTTTTTCTTCACTTTCGCCAATTGGTGAAGTTTGTTCCTCGCCGCTGTCGCCATTTATAGTTTGTATAATATTTTATAATATAGTTTTGACTATAATAGTTCACCATTATAGTCGCCATTGAAATGTACCCATTATAGTTTGTCACAATTCTCACTATTTACTTCTGTCTTATTATTAAGTTTAACTGTTTATTATAAAGTATGATCAACATCCCTAATCCTACCCAGTACCCAACTACTATTAATAAGCAGCTGATTAGTATTTATTAGGTTTAGCTAGTGGCTTGTAGCCATATATTTGTGACCATAATAATATTGTCTATATAAATAATAATAATAACAATAAATAATCACTGGTGGGCAAAGATTAATTGCATTTAAAATAAAATAAAAGTTTGTTTAGACACAAGTTAAGCATGTGTAGTGTGTATATTCATTATCTAAACACACACACACACACATGCATATATTTAAGAAAATGTTTATTTATATTTAGAACTAAAATATATGTGTATATGATACAAATAATATATCAATTTAAATACCTATGAAACAAAATTGTTAGTTTTGATGCATGTGCATCACATATACTGTTAAGGGCAACATTATTAGCCCTCTTGTAAAGTATTTATTCTTTTTCAAATTATATTTAATTTATATTCAGGAAAGTTTCACAGTATTTCCTCTAATATTTGTTCTTCTGGAGAAAGTCTTATTTGTTTTATTTCGGCTCGAATAAAAGCAGTTTTTAATTTTTTAAAGTAATTTTAAGCTCAATATTATTCGCCCCTTCAGCAATATTAGTTTTAGATTGTCTCCAGAACAAACCACTGTTATACAATGACTTGCCTAATTACCCTAACTTTACCCTGATTACCCTAGTGAAGCCTTTACATGTCACTTTAAGCTGAACACTAGTGTCTTGACAAATATCCAGTCTAATATTATGTATATATAATATTATATAATATGAATATTATGATTTAAACTGTATATTGTGTCAAAACAAACTTTTATTTTGGATTAATCATGATTAATCTTTGCCCAGCACTATAAATATTGAGTAATTTGACTTAACTTTGACTCCATGGAAAAATCGTGTGTGTGTGTTTGTTTGTGTTTCTCTCAGAGGAACGTGAGCTTTGTTTATCGGTAGTCATGAAGATGAAGTAGCTGCTTATATATACACACACACACACACACCTGCAAAAAAACGTTGCATTTTCAGAGCAATGTGAATGCGGACATCATGCTGTATCTGCTCCACACGGCACACGCTCAGCTCCTGACGCTCTGGATCTCCACAGTGGGATGGATCCTCATCATGGTGAGCCTGGGAACGGTGGAGTGGAGGATCTGGGAAGTGTCCGACATCTCAATCATCACTTCAGGTATAGCCTGGGTGGGCGTCTGGAGGGTGTGTTTTTATAGCCACGCCCCCATATTATCCACCAATCAGATCATGTTCTGCCAGAAGATTCATTTGTGGGAGTCGTTCACTCCGCCTGAGATTGCTTCAGCGCAGGTTTTAATGATATTGTCAATTATTTTGGGATTTTTTGGAAATGCGTGCATCATCGTCGCCCTCAGGAATCTATATTTCAGATTTTCATCCGCAAATCCGGCGTTTTTCGCAGGAGGAGTTTTGCTCATCCTGACGGCATCTTCTGCGCTTGTTCCCGTGTGCTGGAATCTCAGTTCAGTGGTAAATAATTACACTGTTTTCTTCCCGGAGTCTTACCTGATGCCGTCAGCTCCGCTCAGCCAGTCTGTCGGGCCTGGGATTATTGTGGGCTTCTTTGCGTCTGTTTTGCTGGTGTTCAGCGGCCTGGTGTTTCTGTCCCACAGGAACCCAAAAGTGAAGCCGGACATCCGGGAATCTGTTTAAAACAACAGGGAATTAATAATCCGGCTTTCCAAACACATAATGAGTGTTAGTGATAGATGTGATTTATTATAAATGACTATTATTGTACAAACACTGTGACGAATCTAATAATTAAAGGGTCAGTTCACGCAAAAATTGAACCCAAGTGTTTTTAAACTGAGTATGCTGCTTGTTGAACACAAAACCAGATATTAGGAAGAATGTTGGAACCAAAAAGCCACTGACAATATTGAGGAGTGACAGTGTTTTCATAGCCACGCCCCCATATTATCCACCAATCAGATCATGTTCTGCCAGAGGATTGGTCTGTGTGCGGCCTGCTGTTTCTGTCCTACAGGAGTCAAAGTGTGAAGCCGATCAGACATCCAGGAATCTGTTTAAAACAACAGGGAGTTGATAATCCAGCTTTCCAAACACAACGAGTGTGAGTGCTGTTTACAGGATAGATGTGATTATTATAATGACTATTGTATTTAAAGGGTCAGTTCACGCAAAATTGTAACTCAAGTGTTTTTAAACTGCTATGAGTTTGCTTCATGTGTTGAGCACAAAACTTGATACTCTGATATATGTTGGAAAAAAAACTGCCAGTAATGTAATATGGGGGCGTGGCTGTGTGTTTTCATAGCCACGCCCACATACCATCTACCAATCAGATCATGTTCTGCCAAAAGATTCATTTGTGGGAGTCGTTCACTCCACCAGAGATTGCTTTAGCGCACCTTTTAACGATATCGTCAATTATT